GTCGGGATAAGATAACCAAAGATGATGTGGATCTGAATACCGTTGTATATTTTGATCATAATAATGTGACATAGTGAAGAAGGTAAGGATTCGTATGTTTAAGGAAAGTTAAAGAGTAATAGAAACGTTTAAGAATCAATATATCAGCAATCAATTTATAAAACAGAGAAAGTTAGACTGCTTGAGTTTGGAAACAGAGAAATCGTAACGTGTAGGGATATGAATATAGTTTGATAAGTCGAAGAAATTGTTGTTAAGTTATTCAAAGGAAAATGATGTATGTAAGTGAAGTATGGAGGGCTTGTGCCTAGACTAAAAGAATATTATTGATGTTAAAATTGTTCTTTCTAAGAAATGATGAATTGTGTTAAAGATCTAGAGAGATCTCAGAAGGATTAAGAGAATTCGTATCTCACAAAAAAATCAACATTATCGCAGAGGGACAGAGATTATGATTTTCAATTACAGAATCAGTTTGAATTAGTGTATTCCATATCAAAGGACCAAATTTGATTAAAGATAGATACACTTGAATAGTAGAGTATGGTACTAGAAGATTAAATAAGGAGTTAAGAATGAATCAAATACATTAATACTGAGCTAATTTCGACCGGAAAGAGTGTATATGATTGTAAGAACTGTTGCGGACTGATAAGGTTGAGTGATGAAGAATGTAGTTAAAAGATTAAAGATGATGTAAGGGTAAGCTAACAGAGTATGGTGTAAATTTGTAAATGGTTATGTATTTGATTATATAAATGTGATGCGGTGAAAGAGATAAGGATTAATATGTTTGAAGGAAGTTAAGGATATGTGTATTGTGATGCGAACAAGGACTTTACAAAGAATAAGATTTGTGCAAAGAGTGTTAATTTTCAAAGTTATGAAGATGTGATAAAGATCAGTAATCAGATATGAGCATAAGTGATAGGAAAAGAGCATGTAATAAGGAAATGAAAGGATAAATTTTAAAGAATAAGATGTGATAAAGGTTATGTTTCTTGATTAAGCAGATTTAGTCAGAGAAATAAAGAATAATTTATATGTATTAAGGAAGTTGGTTATTATTGAAAGGCAATTAAATATTGATAAGAAATTTGATTGATTAATGATTTTGAGTGTTAAGAACTGATATTGCTGGTTATATGATAAGTGACATGATAAGGATGTATCAAGGAAAAAGGTAGTTGAACAACGAAAGGAATGAAAGATTAAGTAAAGGAAACAACATAAGAACATTAGAAGATGTGTTCTTATTGTGTGTGCAATGAAAATTCGAGGACGAATTTTCTTTAAAGGAGGGGAGATTTGTAACATCCCAAAAGTCGGGTCAATTACCAAAATAGAATTTTGGTAAATTTAGTGACCAATTTCAAAAAATATGGAAAGTTTAGGGATTTAAATGAAAAGTGTTGATGTTGGATTTAATAACAAAGTTTGAAAGTAATAAGGGTATTATGGTAATTTTTAGGGAAGATTTTTTTATTTTCCCTTTATAAAGGGTAATAAGCACGTGGGAAAGGAGATAATTTCTCCAGAGCCTTCTTCAGTCTTCTTCTTTCTCCTCTCCACCGTGGAGTCTTTTATAAGGTAAGTGGGTCTTCAGTTGGTTAATTCTTTCGTTTTAAAGCTTGTTTTGATTCTTGGGATGTTAAGAAAGATTAAGGAAAACTTTAGGATGCTTAAAACTCAAGGATTAACAAGTTATGAGAAATTAAGAAAAATGGGTTTTTAAGTGAATATTTGAAATATAAGGAGTTAATAGAGTTTGAAGATGAATTTGACTTGTCGATGGTTAAATTAAGGAATATGAAGTATTAGAATTAGATTTAGAACATGTTGGAAATTGAGTGTAATTCTTGAATGCCATATAAAGGATAGGCTGTTGAGTTTAAAGAAGTGATTATTGAGTAGAAATTAGTTTAAGTGTGTGTATGAAAGTTAGGAATATTAAAAGAGGTGAAAGATGAAGAGTTGAGATGAAAAGTGAGTGAATTTCGTGCTTAAAATGGAATTTCTGGGTTGTGTGCATCGATTCATCTTCAATGTGTATCGATGCACTCTCAAATAAATGAACATCGAATGCAATTAGTGCATCGATGCATAATGAGTGCACCGATGCACCCCCTTAAGATGAAAACATCGAATGCAATTTGTGTTTCGATGCATAAGTAGTGCATCGATGCACTCGTTAAAGGATGCATTGATACATTGTAGAGTGCATCGATACCTACATTATTTAAGAGATGAAAGTAACATTTCTTTTAGTCTAAGAAGTGATAGATTAGAATATATTAATTAGTATACTGATATGTATCAATGTATTACTTTATAGATATAAAACGTAATCTTGTTCCGGAACAATCCAAAGGTTAGGATCGAGTCAAAGCAAACAAGGCTAAGGTGAGTGCGTGTTAGTTGATATATTATGATGAATGGAAATAAGACTTGTGACAAGTCTATTTCCTATATTAACATATATATAAGCATGTTATTGATATGAGCATAATTGTGATATATTATTGTATATGTGGTATGATCTGTGTGAATGTAGGTTATTGTTATGTGATTAAGATATCAATTATGTGATAACGAATGGTATGGATATATGGAAGGTGAAGTAAGCTAAAGTATGTGAACATATGTATATAAGATAAGTCATGTGGATATGATTTATGAGAGTATGCGTGATATGATAAGAATATATGTTTATGTGATATGGCTATGTGAATATATGGTAAACATAATAATGATGCACATGTTACGTGTCATGAGAGCTAGAGGTATAGTTGGCATGCCAAGAGTCGAGGGTTCCACGTGGTCCTTCGGGACATATATGTAATTCTGTGGAACATATATGTGGTACTTCGGTACACTTATTTGGTCCATTGTATTATGTGTATGGTTCTTAAGGAGTGGTCCTTCGGGACATAGTGGTCATTCGGGACAAATATACAGTGCCCCTAGTGGGAATTTATTCGAGCTGTAGTGACAGCATCAGTGCACAACCTCAATGAACTCACATATCTTTAGTTCTCCAAGATGTACATGGGCCAATAAAGAAATAATACACAGAAACTTAACATGATTGTCATATGTGATTGAACATTTGGATGTGAATGTATGAGTTTCATTTATTGCATATATGATATGTTCTATGTGAAATATGTTGATATGATATATGGGAATGTAAGTGAATATAATAATATAATTATATGATATATTAGAGGTAATTTCATGAGAAATCTAGTGAACGATATATATATATATACATAGATAAGGAAGTGGTGAACTATATGATTAATGAAATTGAGACCAAGCAGATAGTATATTAATTAAAGGAAAAGGTATATAGATAAGTGTAAAAGGATATTTGATAAGTGGTGCATGAAGATATATACGTTTAAAATATAACTGTGAACCAACCTTGCTAAATTAGTAAGGGATATGAAATTTAGTATAAGAATCTAAGAAATCATATGAGAATATCAGAGGAATCAAATAACAATAAGTTATGCAAATATATGTTTATTAAATGAAGATTGGGTGAGGAATGAATTAAGAGAATATAAGAAATTAGGATATTAGAATATGTAACGAGAATTTATGGGTGAAATGATAAATAGAAACATATAGAAATGAGAGATAAGATATGTAGGATTGTGATCAAAATTTCAGGATTAAGAATAGGGTAAGTAAAAGACTTAAACGAAGATAGTAGAATGTGATATAAGCGAAGTAGTGTGAATTAAATGATTATAGGAATATGAAATAGTAAAACTCATATGTGATATTATAAGGTTTGTGTGTGTATGTATTCATTTTATGAAGTGTACATGAAGATGTATGTTATAATAGCATTAATTATTCATATGCATTGTTAGAAGTTTAATTTATATTATATGTTTTATAAGCCTCACTAAGTCATAGACTTAGCGTGTGATTGTTTCACACGTAGGTTATAGAAGCGAGAAGAGAAGCTAAGAGGAGCCAGACATGTCAGCATCTTCCTTACGAATATCAGATCAGAAATATATTAAATATATGCATTTTGTTTTATAGAATGTAGTTGGCATGTAGTATAAAGATTTAAATAGTATAAGCTCTGATATGTTTGGTAAAACCCATTTATGTCAATTAATGATAAAATATTCATTTTATCGAATAGTAAGTTGGATTTTTATCCACCTGTAAAGGAAAATGTTTTGAAAAGTCAATGTGACACCTAAGACTCGAATCCGGGTCGGATACGGGTTAAGGGTGTTACAATTTTCATGCAGGCCAACAAGTCATCCTGTATAACTCTTCTGTATAATTTATCCTAAAAATTAAGATTCTATTTCGAGGAATAATTGTGAATATGTTTTGAAAAACAAGAATCATCAGTACTGATGGAGGTTCCTATTGTAACCATGTCATAAGAAAACATTCCAACTCGAATCAGTCGGTGAGTTTCCTGGAGACATTTTCTCTACAAATTTTTACTTTGCGTTTCAGCATTTAATTCAATGGTAAGTACAAAAATAAATAATGTTTTAATTTTTATTCTTAAATTTTAATGTTAAATGTAGAAGACGAAATTTAGGTCATTTAGAGGAGAAAATTAACTAATCAGTTTTTTAATTAAAATTATTTTTCAGATGCAATTTAGCCCTTTTTTAACTATAATTATTTTTAATTATATTTTTGTTTGCTTCCACATTTTCATAAGAAGTATTTTTTTACTTAAATATGTTTATCTTCTTATTTCATATTTTATGTACAAATATAACCTGTAGAGAAAATGTGGAGACGGGAAATATGGTAGAAAAAGCATGATATTATAATCAAATAATTACATATAACTACTTCATATTCATATATAAATAACTTAACCCAACAAGAAAAAAATAAAAATACATAGTATATGTTTCATATAATAAAGAAGTATTGTGCATCTTTAATAAATTTCCCTAACGATTGTCATTGTCATTCCTAAAGCTATGAGAATACTAGAGATTTTAATAACTGTGCTTCTCTTTGATATTTAACTTTCGGTTGCCAATTTTAATGAATGAAGCTTGAACAGCGGCTTTTGCAGAACGTGAAGACTCGAATTGAACGAAAGCATATGATCTGTATAACCTATCAAGTTTAATTTGAACACCATTGGATTTAATTGGTCCAAATCTCTTGAAAGCTTCGTGAAGTTGTTCAGGTTTTGAACCGGTAGCTAAGTTCCCAACGAATATAGATGTTCCATCAGCTTTAACATTCCCAGTGTTCATATTCTTATTCTCTCCTTCAAGTCCACTTTTCTTCGGCTCTTGTAATACTCTGACAGATTTTCTGATTGGCGGCGGCTTGAACTGGGCATCGTTTTCATTCAAAACTTGCACCACCGACGAAAAACTCTTCTTAGGAATATGATCGATTGGCACACGACACGTCGAATTCGAAATAATAGCTGGAAAATCCTCCATGCAAAAAGTTGGTCCGTCATGTTGGGTTGAGTTCGAAACAATGGAAGAAACATCTTTGACTGGAGTGGTTTCCACTTCATGTTTTGAAGTTGGAACATCTTTAGTGTGAAAAGTTGGCACGTCTTCGATAGGGAGACTCGGCTCATCATGTTGTGCTAGACTAGAAACAGTGGTTGAATCATCTGCAACGGGAAGAGTTGACACATCACTTTGAACAACAATGGAAACATCTTCAACAGTTGGCACATCTTGATGTGGACTCCAAACAACACTTGAAACATCTTCGACATAAATAGCTGGCGTATCCTCCTGTACTGAACTTGAAACAGCAGGAATATCATGACTTGATAAACTCGAACCAGCCTTTGAAACATCGCTTGTCGAAAAATCCTCCTCAAGAAAAAGATCGGTGGTTGAACTCGAAGTCGAGACATTTGGAGTTATCCATTCTTTGTCATCAAGAAATTTCAAATATCATTGGAGATAAAATAGTCATGAACTGTTGTTTCCATGGGTGAGAGGATGAAGGATTGATTAAACTTGATGATCTGTTCATTGTTTGTAGTGAAAGAACCGGTAACCACGACAAAGACACCCTGATTTGCCGCCAATTGAGAATCACAGGAAACAATATGAAATTGCTTGCAACCAAAGGAGGAAAGAAGATGTTTCTTAATATGTTGAATGGTTGTGAAGGTGGCCATGATATCATCAGGTCCCGGGCGGCTAACCATGCTTGAATCATTATAAAACTTGTGAATCTCTTCCGGGGAATCACGGAGCACCAAATAGTATCGGTCCACAAACACAGCGCCCGCTTCTTGTGGCGTTGAACAGACACTTGACTTAGCGTCCATGGATTAACTGAGAGAAAATTAAGAAAACCGAAAGGAAAGCTAAAACCAGAGAAGACAAAGATTTTCAGATAACCAAAGAGAGGTTATAGTATATATAACATATCAAGTCCAAAGAGGATTGAGATTTCCAGAACTTGAAAGATGTGGAATTCTAATCCAGTTCGGTGTCTTTTATTACGATTTCTATTCGTAGGAAGATACCTTTTGTAGGAAAATTACTTTTCTCTTGGACTTTTAATTACTTATTTATTTTCTTTGAGGTTGAAAAAAATAAAAAGGCTGGAGCGTTTGTTTTCAGACATTAACTGCACAACACAACTGAACTACGATATCATCCAATCATTCAAAATTAATCTAACCTTACGTGATCTAGTCTTAAATTAAATATATTTTTTAAAATATAATATAATTTAGAACTTGTAGATTATATTATATATTTACTCTAATTAGAATTTTGATATATTTACTGCTAATGACAAAATATATTCTGTCTTGTTATAATATATATATATATATTCAATTCTTATAATAAATAAAGGGTAAACTACACAAATGGTTCCTTGACTATAGGATACTATTTTATTGAGTCTTTTGACTATTGAAAGTTACAAAATGATTCCTCGACTATAGAGAGTTGTTATGCTGAGTCCCTAAACTATTAAAAGTTACAAAATGGTCACTCGACTATTCATTATGTTTCAAACTCATCTTATTTCGTTAAAAAAATAACAGTAACCTGAGTTTGACACTAGCATGTTGACTGAGATATGATAGTCGTTTGAGATTATGAGATCAGATTTTATCATATTTCGGGCAGCAGGTTAACGTGCAACTTAGAATGTTGTCAAATTTTTAACGGAAAAGGATGAGTTTGGAACATAATGAATAGTCGGGTGATTATTTTGTAACTTTTAATAGTCAATGGACTCAACAAAGCAACTCCCTATAGTCGGAGGCAATTTTGTAACTTTTAATTCTCTAAGGACTTAATAAAACATTATCATATAATCAAGGGACCATTTATATTTTTTTACCCATAAATAAATATATTCTATTTTTAATTAATCTGAGATGAGTACAAGGCATTATCTGTTTAAAGATAACTCTCAATCATTTGACATCGAACGCTCACACCCCACTTATTCTTGATGCTTGAACTTGGAACCTCAAGGAATAATAACAATTCCCTCTAACACCAGGGTCACTTGGTGTAACACTCTCAGACCGATACGGGTGACCCAATCCGATCCGATGTGTCACATTAGAGTCATTGGAGCGACCCACACAAAAATTCAGGAAAAATAAATTTATTTAAACCATTTCAAACCGTAAAATAATTATAAACAAATTGTACAAGTTCATAAAATATTTCTATATTGAAAATAGAATCCAATCATACACAATATTAAAACAAGTTACATACTCCAATATACATAAAAAAATGGGACTTACATGCCCCTTAATTACTTCTGTATCATACTTTGCAAGTAACGCCGAAGGAACTCCCACTACTGATGTTGATACTACACATGATCAATTCTTTTAACCTGAAATGGTGAGTAACAAAGTGAGCTTTGAGAAAGCTCAATAATACAAAATTATTAGATGATGCTAAAAGAAAAATAGATATATTACAAGACATAAAGCTTTCTTATTGATTCAAGCTTATACATGTTCTAGTGGTGAGTTGAGGTTCATTAATTAAATCTTTAGATAACAGTCGAGAAACCTATTGTTCAGATGAAGCATTCAAAGATACATATTCAAGATATTGAAAACGAGTGTCTAGTGTATTCCCATGAAACTAAAAATAAGCTTTCATATAGTTTAAAAATAATAGTAGTAGTTTATTTCAGGAAAACAGATTTTAAAACCACTGTAATACCCTCCACCCGAACACCGATATACAGTTCTCCAAAACTACATCCATAAGGACTTACCCTAGGCACATTGGGCATAGGAGCCAACCTAAGGGATCACCTTAAGTTTATAAGGACTTACCCTAGACGAAGTGTATGAGCCACCTGAGGAGTGTGCCTCATGTCCATATGGACTTACCTTAAGCAAAAAACAAAGAAGTCATTCTAAGGAAGTGCCTTAGGATCCCTAATGTCTTACTCTATGTCCATTAGGCCTGAAGCCCACCTAAGAGTCACCTTAGATCCATAAGGAATTACCAACTTGATCGGAGCTGAACCTATAGAACTCCATGTCACATCCCAAATAGTACCCAGTAAATCAATTTCAAATAGTAAACAGTAGTATCAGACGTGTTTATATTTCTCAATAAAATCGGTAATCAGAGGCCATATATTAGGTAAACATAGTTTGAAAATCAATAAATCATGGATTAGAATTTTCATCAGATAATTCTTTCATAAATCAAAACAGATAAAACAATCATACTTCAAAGCATATAAATTAGTCATATACAATACAAAGAAAACACTAGAAGATTCAATTACTTTTTAGAGGGACTTAATGGTTAGCAGAAAGGGGGAAATATAGAACTTCTGTAGATTGATCAAATTTCATATACAATGTCCCTATAAGAAGGGTTTGATTACTAACAAATCTAAACAAACATTTAAAAATTGATTTTTATGATCATTTAGGATTTGGGTGCATATGAAAGGTATTCTTATCTAGATTATCCAGATTCAGATATAACACGAGTGATTTCATTATCCAGATTATCATGAACATTTTTTATTCTTGAAGAATTCTTAGTAACTAATTCAATAAGAGAGAAAATGATGATTTTATGACATTAAGATTTTTATATTGGATCAAATATAGATAATTTGGGCTCTTTTTACTCTATAAGGGTATTTTTATAATTTCCTTTTCAAACATTTATAATATTAATATTTTTAACGAGAAAAATAAGAATTTAGAGGTCATGAGACTAATTGAATTACCAATTAATCACTAACTCGAAATTATTTATTATCGGCCTTCTGGTTCCTTAAATGAGTTATTTGAATCTTATTCAATTGTCTTTTGACTGCATTCGGTTCGAGTTTAGAAATAATTACCGATACGAGTTTCATAGAGCATGCAAAAAGAATTGAAAAGCAAGGCTTTGAATTGCCAAACAACGATGGGTCCACAAACACAGTAACCACTTCTTGTGGCGTTAAACAGACACTTGCCTTTGTGTCACCCGTGGATTAACTCTGCTGAAGCAGAGGTGAAATTAAGAAAACCAAAAGGGAAGCAGGCGAAGGATAAAACCAACACAACTGAACCATGATATCATTCAATGCTATGAAGAAGAAACACCACCAAATGAATATTAACAAAAAGAAAAGTAAACAACACCCAGCTTTGAATTGCCAAACAATGATTGGACAAAGATGAACATTAAATTCTGCAAATAAACTTGAATACGGTTAGGACGGCCAAGCCCAAACAATGTTCTTGAGAGCTGGTCTAACATCCTGTTTTAAAGTCTTTTGAAACTCCAATGTGTCACTGTCACCACTGGATTTCCTCAGCTCCACCAAGTGGAAAGATCGTGTAAACTCGAATATCTCAGCCTCCATAGCCAATGTGCCTCTTTGACATCCGTCAAATCCTTCCATTTTCATCACTCCACCGTGCTTCTTAACTTTCAACTTTAAATCCTGAGCAATGTCCTCTAGTTTAGATGTTGTGGCAGAGAACGTATGCGTTGAAGTAAATTGAACTTCCTTCTTCTCTTCATTTTCTACGAATAATCCGGACAAATCAAGTTCGCTCGATAAAGAAATAATGTCAAAGGCATTCCAATTTGAGAGTTTAGCCATGCCCTTCTTTGCTTCAAATGCATTGTAGTTAGTCTCACAACTAAAAACTGCAGCAATATCGGCTGGTTTCGAGTTAAATCCCTTTCTGAACCACGGATTTGTCATTCCTAGATTTAGGATTCGGGGTGAGGATTCTTGACAGCAGTTTGGTGACTTGAGGTGAAAACCAATTGGGAAATTTGTAGTCTGCCTTGCTTATTTTCCTGTAGATTGCTATTAGACTGGTATCATGAAATTGAAGATAACCAGCCAGCATAACATAGAGAATCACCCCACATGACCAGATATCAGCTTTGGCTCCATCGTAACCCTTACTGTTTAAAACTTCAGGAGCTACATAGGTAGGGGTTCCACAAGCTGTGTGGAGTAGCCCATCTTGATGCTTACACTCGGCAAGGGCACTCAAACCGAAATCTGATACTTTAAGAATTCCGTTTCCATCAAGGAGTAAGTTTTCCGGCTTCAAATCACAATGATTAACACCTCGGCTGTGGCAAAAATCAACTGCACTGATGAGTTGTTGGAAATACTTCCTTGCCGTGTCTTCTCTCAACTTCCCTTTTGATAACATGTTGAAGAGTTCACCACCTTTGGCATATTCCATAACAAAGTAAATCTTGGTCTGGCTAGCCATCACCTCATAAAGCTTCAAGATATTCGCATGTTTAACCAGGCTCATACCCGATATCTCCCTCTTTGTTTGATCGATCATCCCTACCTTCAAAACCTTCTCCTTGTCAATGACCTTAATTGCCACACTCTGGCTGGTTTCGATGTTCTTTGCATGGTAAACTTTGGAAAAGTTTCCCTGCCCTAAAAATCTTCCGAACTCGTACTTTTGCATCAACACCTTCCCTTTATTGTCCATTCTAAAGTTCAAATCTTAACACACTCCAATTGAGTTTTATCTCCTGCAGTAATTATATGTATATATATTATCGTCTGAAGTGCAGGAGTAGCTACTGGAGAACTCGATCGTCTTCAACAAGGTCATCCATTTAACACGACAGAGATTTCAGTTTCAACTCTATTATGCATTGGGACACAGGGAATGAATCTTCTGTATGTTGAGCATCCAAAGTCATCGAGAATGAATACAGGTAATTCAGAAGCGGATGCAAGCACATTTTTCTGCATTCCCTGGTCCTGTTGGGATGCTCTCTGGAAGACACAATAAAGAGGCAGGTCACAATTATTCAATCAGCCCGA